TCCACTAATTTTGCTCTTGAGGCTTCAAGTGAATCTAGATAGATACTTCCTTCCAATTGAAAAAAAATCATAAAGGTAAGAAATAACCATCAGCTCTAACTCTAGCTCATAACTTTTGAGATTAGCCTTCATCTACAATCATCTAGAATCACAATATCTTTAGCTTGTCTAATGTGCCACATAGAATATTTTGGGTTGATATTGTCGGTGTGCCTACCTTGATCCATTCTCTTTATTTGTTTTCATGCCTAGACAATCTCTCATGCCATCTTTATAAAATATGGTTCACCGTATGTAAAGTCTAACTGATTAAATCCATACATCAATGGAATAAACTGTTTATATCCAAACTGTCTTAGCATTAATAGTGGGGCATAACTGATCACACCCTAGAGGCATAAAAGTGGAACCTAAGGTTTGTCCCTACAACTATGAAGTACTGAATCATATGGCATCTTAGGCGCCCTCCACACCACTTGTTGGCTATCAAATTTCATAAATAGGATATCCAATATTTCTCGGAGTTCAATTTCGACCATTTGATTTCACAAAATTCATTCAAAAAAATGCTAGAAATGTGATAAGGTTTTTGTAAGTTACCCTATTTGACTTCAAAGTGACTATTTATCCACACATATAAGAGTTGTATGCTCTATATAAAATGACCATTTCTTTCTCATCGATAAAAATTCAAGGATCTGATGGTTTCTGTCAAAATAATTGGTTCTAAAGTGACATTGTTCTTAACTTACTCTAAGAAATCCATGACTGCTATGTCTATATATCCAAGTCTTTTTTGGAACACCACCATCCCATACAAAGCTAAAGCAAACAAAGTCATGTGTCGCTTGTCATTTGTAGTTTTGACATGGTGACTATATAAGAAATCCCAAAGAATATATGCATTCTTGCTTTTTTCCTTAAAATGTTTATCAACCTATTCCACATTAATTTTCATCATCACGGTAAACTTTTTGGATAGCCTATGCTTTTGTTCGTAAATAAACTTTGTTAGGACATAAAGGGCGTAAACGAAGCAATGTGGAATACTCTTCAATTTTGGACACCATATCTACCTTGTTGAACATGAAGTATCTATATGAAAGATCCTAAAACCATATCATGGCTCTAATAAGCTATTCATCCACCTTTACCGAAAAAAGTAATGCTAAATCTTCATATTTTTTTCTTGGAATTTTTCTTGCATAATGTTGTTCCATTGCTTCCAAATCAAATCCAAACTAGAAAGGTCATTTTGCTTCAAATTAAGATGAACCTTCTTATGAAGAGTGGACACATAATCTACTAACAAAGTCTCTTTCTTTACTTTGTGTATCCTTTGATCTAATTCTCAAGGCATCATGTCGGGTTAGTGCGGATTGAAACTGCTCTAAGTTTTTCATAAATATAACTAAGATTTGTTTTATCAAAATTGATATGTGGCAAACAACTCCTTGTATGAAAATAAAAATGCGATGGTGCAAGAGACAAATAATAAAACGTTTAAACAATCATAGCATGTTCCTTCATGTGTCTCTATGTGTTTAGGACAATTCTAAATAATAGGTAGTCATGGTTTTATCATAAGGTAAGCTTCTTAGGTCATTTATATGCTGGGTTAGGATAACAAGCTAAAAGATCCCAAATTATTCCTCACTGTCATCCACGCTAGACTATTAAGGCACTTCAATCCTTGCCCATAACAGGTTAAAAATGAAAAAAATTCAATTTGAGTAAGAGTATTTCGCTAGCCATTGCAAAGATTAACACCTTACAAAAACATAAGTACTCTATCCCCTCTTATGAAGGACGAAGCCTGGGTCTCCATCTCGTGTTATGATACACATGTACAGTGGGTGAAGGAATAGGTTTTTAAATACTTTTCAAACAAATAAATAAACAAATAAAGGAGAAATTAGTCAAATGTATCAATAAAATGAATGAATAAAGAAAACTAAACTATTCAACTAAGACCAAGGATCATATTAAAATTAATTTTTGGTTCGACTCTTTAAATCCCCAGCAGAGTCGCCAATTTGTCATAACGTATTGAGCTGAAAACTCAATCGCTAGATATAAAAAGTCAAAAGTCACCATTAATCTTTTTTTGTTGAAGTGTGATTGGCCATCAATCATATTTTTTGGTTGACGAATTTAAAGCTGGATTCAGGAGTACAGTTATGTGTGGGAAAGATTATAATGCCCCCACAATGTCTGTCAAAAAATGGTACCAATTAATCTCATATCATCCAAGATTGGTCTTGTTCAAATAGTCTTTTACTTATTATTTAATTATTTTTATTTTTTATTTTTATTATTTGAATATTTTACTATTTGAATATTAAAATTTCGAAGTTATTTTTGACACTTTCGGTATAACTTAAAAAATTTTCTTACCTCAAGAGTATTCAAAAAAATTATATATTTCCTTAAAAAGACTCCGTCATCGAATTTATTTTAATATTTAGAAAGCAAAGTAGATTATAATTTCCTTATACAAACACTTATGATATGATTTTAAAATTTTAGAAGAAAATCACCACTCATGATTCTCTCTTAATTTTATTATCGATGAAAATTTTAATTTACTTTGAAATGTTTATTTTTTTTATTATTGAGATAAAAAAAATTTGTTAGTTAAATTCTCAAAATATTTCTAACATTTTTGGACTATTTTGAGAAAAAAATACATTGCCTAAGAAATTTTGATAAAATCATCACTTGTGACTTTATTTTTTATTAATAATGTTTTTCTTGAAAAACTTTAAAATATTTCTAACTTTTTTAGAATATTTTAAAAAATTTCTTTGAGTAAATATTTTTAATAAAATCACCACTATTGATTTTATTTTATTTGAAAATTTCTAAACATTTCTAACACCTTTAGAATATTTTAAAAAATTTCCTTGTGCAAATATTTTTAATAAAATCACTACTTGTGATTTTATAATTATTAATAATATTTTGCTTTTATGTTTTAAAATTTTTAAAATATTTCTAACACTTTTTAAATATTTAAAAAAAAAATTTGTATAAATCTTTTTTTTTAAATCACCATTGGTGACTTTATTTTTTATTAATGATGTTTGCCTTTTTTTATGCTTGAAAATTTCTAAAATATTTCTAACACTTTTAAAATATTTTTTAAAAAACTTTGTATAAATATATTTTTTTTAAATCACCATTGGTGACTTTATTTTTTATTAATGATGTTTGCTTTTTTTTATGCTTGAAAATTTTTGAAATATTTCTAACACTTTTAAAATATTTTAAAAAATTTCTCTGTGCAAATATTTTTAATAAAATCACAACTTATGATTTTATAGTTATTTTATAATATTTTATTTATTTTTCATTATTTATTTTTATTCATTCATTATTCTAAATTTTATATTTTATATTTTATTTTTTAATATTATATTTATTTTAACAAATCCTAAATTATAAATTAAATACTAAAAATAACTCAAAAAATTAAAAATAAATAAATAAAATAAATAAAAATACCAATTTTTTGCCAATCAACGGTAAGTCAACAACGGTCAACGTTGACAAACTCTAGTCAATGTCGATCAAAGCAAGCAGTTCAACGACGATCCAATAACGGTTCAGATGGACCAATCAAAGTTAATAAGGGAACTAGTCATGAGTCAGATACATGGACCCTGGATTGAGTCACAGGTCACGTGCGGACCCTTTTTTGCTTAAAACAACATTGATTCATCCTTCTTCTTTTTTGCAACACTATAAAAAGCTAAAAAAAAAATTATTTCATTTTTCTTTAAATTCTCTTTTTAAAAGAGAAAGTTTTTCTCTTTAAAATAGAAGTCCCCGTTGAAAAACCCAAAAGACTTAAAAGCTAATCAATCACCATCGCGTCGATCATCTACCATCATTGTCAATGACAAAAAAAACCCCAAATACTCTTGTTGACTCCTTTCACCCAACACTAATCTGACCTTTGTTTTGCAAGATAAAATTTCAATCAGCGTAGATTGAACTTTGAAGTTTCAGTTAATTTTTTTTTTTGCACGAGATCTCTATTACCAGGGCTATGGTTTCTTTGTTGTGTTTGATTTTGGTTTCTTAGTAAGCTAGAAAAAAATATTAGGTTTTTTGGGTTTCTGCCAGAGTTTTTTTTTTTTTTTTATTTGGTATAACTTTTTTTTTTTGGGCAAGTTCTCTTCTTTTTATGGGTTCTCCTATTTTTTTCTCTTTTTTTTTGTTGAATTCCCATTTTATTTTTAGTAGGATGCTCTATTTATAAAGTCTATGGAAGATCAAATCCTAGATTTTCTAGGATTCGAAGATGATAATCTAAGATTTCAAGAAGAAAAAAAGATAATTGGAGAAGAAAAAATGGTGGACACCGACAACTTCTTCCACCAAAATTTAGCTTTTGAAATTTTTACTATAGAATCTGATAGTGCATTTAATGCACTAAAGACTCTATGACCAAATCAGAGAAAAAAGAAAGAAAAGACAAGGAAAAGAAAAGATCATAATAATAATAATAATAAAAACTTTAGAAATAAATAAATTTACATTTAAATTAAAATAAAATCAGACAAAATAAATGTCTACAAAAGGATCAAAGAAATTTACAAAGATTAATCAAATTTTAGGTATCAAATACTAACAAACCATTTCTATCAAGCCTTGATATTGTTCATTTGAATATTTCATCCGTTTTTCTTTCTTAATTCATCATTTCCTTATGCCATTTAATGTTACATAAAACAAAAATGGAAATCAGGATTTTTGTAAGCAAAAGATTACAATTAGTCATTACAATATTTTTGGTAATGGGTCAATGGATTTTCGAAAGCTTTGTTTTTAATACAAAAAAAAAAAAACAAATTGTAGCTTGAAAATAAAAAAAATTAAAAATTGTAAGTATTGAATTTTAAATTTCAAACATATTAGATCTCAAACGTAATAGATATCATTTATTAAAAATAATTAAATAAATTAACTAAATTAAATCTCAAATTTAAAAGCTTTGTTTGATAACAAGATATTTTCATATTATTTTAGGAGGCCGGCAATCACTGTTCCAATTTTTAGACCATGGACTAAAACAATTTTCTGGTCCAAATCTTTGATTCGGTGCTTAAAAAGTATACCAAAATTGAGGGAGGTCAACAAGTTTCCAAAAAGCCCATTCTCTCACATGTAGATACCATTTTATGAACTTTCCTCGTATTCCCCGTCATTTTCCCCTCTTCGCACTCTTTTATATACTTCAAACACATTGAAAAAGTCGTATTACACCACATATCTTTGGACTTAACGTCCTCCAAACCTTCTACCAAATAAAAAGCTCTAGAGAACTCACCCAAAATTCCATAGAAATTAACAAGAAGGGAAGAAGAGATGGAGATGAATGGTTTGCAAAGGTCTACAACGTCGTTTAGGAGACAAGGGTCGTCAGGGTTAGTATGGGATGACGAGTTTTTATCAGGAGATTTGAACCAAATGAAGCTTAACCATCAGGAAAATAAAGAAAACCCAGGATCAGATGGTATGATGAGACGTAGCCGATCAGATGGAGGCAGTGGAAATATGTACCGGACGGTGAAGGCAGCGTCGCCTAGCATGGACCCTCCTTCTCCTAAGGTCTCCGGTTGTGGCTTTTGTGGGGTTTTTGGCAAACCGAACGCAGCCAAGAAGAGAAGGTCAAATAATCGTAAGTCATGATCATATAGAGCATAATTTTGTACATGCTTTTAGTCTGCTATAGGGGCATTCCAATTCCAATCATGTGTGATTTTTTTTTTTAACTTTTCCATTTTTCCTTTTTTTGGGGGTTAGATTCCCACACATAGAGAATTCCAATTGAAACATATCTCCTGAAAAAGAAAAAACTAGTGTATGGGAGCACAAACCTCAAACCTATATGTTTGGTTTGTTTTAAACAGCTTATGTTTCATGGGATTTTGTTACAGAGAGGTTTCTTTTTCTTTTGAGAGCTTTGTTTTGATTTCTCTAGTTCCCTTGAATAGTATAGTTTTTGTCTTAAAGTTTATGCGTCAGACATATTTCAATGTACCAAAAGAAACTTAGCTTTAATTTCTCAATCTATCTCGTTGGAAGTTGTCATATACCAAACCCCTTCAAGAAATGGATTTGATTGCGCATGCTTCTTTGCAAAGGAGCTTACCATTAATGCTTACACATTTTAGAATTGAAAAAGCTTATATCCTTATAATTTTAGTGTTTGTTACGTTTCTAGCTTAGATTATTTATTTATTTATTTATTTTTAGTAGGTGAGTATAGTTGGTAAGGTAGCCGACTTTTAATTTGTTTGTGAACAGTTTTTATCTCCAATGCTAATAGCAAAGAATATTTTAATTAATCAATAATTATGTGTTTTGTTTGTAAAATATTTTATTTTTAATTTTAATAATCAAAATTTAAATCTTAATAATTTTAAATAAAAATTTTAATTAACTGTCCGCCACCAATCCTATACGTGATCTTATCAAATTCCAAAAAGTAGGTACCTTATAAAATTAACAATTGCTGTCCATCATTTTCTGGCCACTCGGTGTTTCCGCTTAGTGGCATACAATTTTTTTAAAGAGAAATTAAAAATATACTTTAAATATAATCAAGGTCATTTTCTACATGTTAGTCCACTTATTCCCATAGGGCACTCGGCTGTTTTCACGATACTATATTTAAGGTCTTTGTTGCAATATGGTTAAATCATTACGTGGGAATTGTGCAAGTTGATCAACGCTTTATTTAAATGGTTTCATCACGTCTTTTTTTCTATTGAGCTCGGCCATTCAAATGAGGTATTATCCTAATCACGGGTTAAACAGCATGGGACGTTTATAATTTAGAATTTACGATAAAATTAATTTTAGTGAGATTAGAAATAATAATAATAATTATTATTATTATAATTAAAAAATTATCATAATTATGATTAAAAAAATTATAAAAAATTTATATTAAATAAAATTTATTAAAATTAATATTTAAATTTAATTATAATATAATAAATTCAATTATATTATATCATAAGTGCAATCAAATCCAACTCCCACTTAATCTTTTAAGTTAAAAAATACTTTCAAACGTTTTTTATTTTTTAATTACCAACTCTTTTTCCTTGAGGGAGTATGTGGTATTTGCTTCTCATTACGCTTACAAAATCTAAAAGCCAATTATTAGAAGTGACGGCCTAAAAGCGTGCAACTCGTAGGCATTAATTTCATCCAAAGTAAATCAATAAAAATATACGTAAAAATTATATGCATATACACGGTATAAGATTACCTTTTCATAAGTTTGACCCCTTGTGGAATACATACATTATACGTACGCACCAAAACACATTTTTATCAACATAGACATTTTCCATCATTTCATACCTGAAATATTGTGAAAATTTTTCTAAATGCAACGCTTCAAAAGGCAGCTATAAGTTCCGTTTTTTAGTGCATAACGTACAATTAGAGGATGGAAAGGAACCTCACTGCTCTTGGAGTTATGTAGAGGACAAATCAACCCGGCCATTACAAACATAGTATTAGGAACAAAACACGTGGAACACTTAAACACACAAATAATAGAGCAAATTTAAAAATAAAAATATAAAAATATATTTAGTTCGAGTTAATTTAAAACTAATTTAAAACGATCTTCTTCGAATCTAATTTATTAATAAATAAATTTTTATAATTTATAAATTTTTTAAATGAAAAAAATTATAAAATTTTATATTCAAACTTAATCTCAAATCTAATTAAATTATTTTAATAATACATTCATTTAATTTTTTTCTTTTAATGTCTAACTACTTGAAATTTTCTAATCAAAATTAAAATATCTTTTTAATAATAATAAAATTCTCTATATCTTTACTAAAATGGATTCAAAATAAACCCTTACCACTTATAATTAACTCCACTAAAATTCTCACGTGGCACTAAAAGATTTAAACCAAATTCTCATCATATAGCTATCACTCAATCTATTGGCAGCCACGTAGAGTCCAAAGGGGTAAAGTCCGGCCAGCAATCATGCTTGCTCAAGCCTTCACTGATCTAGGCTCCATTATTCACTTTTTACCCTCTTTCAGAAAAGAAATTCAACCTTGGCTTAGCCAATACGGTTCGTTCATCTCTTGTGAAAGATGGTTTCCCATGAAGTTGGAATCCAATCATCGGCACTTATAATTTCGCTTCCTTTATTTTTTAAACTTCGGTCCTCTTTATATCAAATAAATAAATAAAAAGTGGGAAAGGGAAGGGGAAAAACAATGAAAAACCATCACCTGTCACTTTTGATTAAAACTTATATATCCAGATTAGTCCTGCTTTATGATTGAACATCACAAATCTTTCCCATCTAAATATTATATACAATCATTATTAAAGGTATACAAATTTTCATAGTCTTGAAATAGATTGGAAGTGTTTAATTAATCAGTCAGATCATCACTAATGTGACAATTCAGTTATTTTCTTTCGATAGATAATCTGATTCTTATCTGACAAAGTTCATTTGACTTTTAAGAGAATACAATATTATTACTTCTTTAAACTCATTAAATAATAATGCATGTAAGAATTGATATAAAGCCAACACTCTGTTACAGCATTTTGTCATTTACAAACTTCATGCAGAGAAAATTCCGAATTGCAATGATGGGAAAAACTAATTGAGTGTCTATATTTGATTAATAGCCTTCGATTTCTGTTTAACTCAAATTTGCAACCCTCTGGACTTTTGTCTTAAATATTAAAAAGTACAGTTTCTCCATTGAAAAATAAAGAAAGCATCCTGTTGAGTGTGTAACAAATGAGCCGAAATCTGAGCCCACAATGCAATGCCAGGACGGTCCATAAATTTTATCAAACTCCTGCATATGTAAAAAAAAATGTCAAACCATGAGACAAATATGTTCGACAAAAGAAGGTAATCAAATGATTAAAACCCCAGACAGATTGGACTTTGACATGTACTATTACATTGCTCAACACATGGCTCAAGAGGGGAAAAAAGAACAAGATTTGATTATTAGAATATGATGATACTGTTTGTACCGATTTGAGTTTTGAGGTTCTCTGGACTCTGGCTGTTTACACATGGCCTGTTGGATCATGATCTGTCTCACTATTGATTCCCATACTTGAGAGGTTTGAGAATCGAGACTCTTTGATTCCGCTATATTTTGAATTTGACTGGATCTACTTTAAAATTGTAGTTGATGTAAAAATGCAAAAAATTCTATTTGAAACAGAGTAACTTAAACACATTTGCAACAACAGATCAGAAAGTAAATCTTTTGCCTTTTTTTTTTCCTTCAGAGTAATACTAAAGGGAGCAAAATTTTCTCATAATGCATATTTTTTTTATCAGCATAATGTAACTTATTAGTTATAATAGAATGAAAATTTTCATTTTGCAAGATTGCAAGGAATAGCAAAATCTATATAGTTCCATGTGTGACCTTGAATACTCCTCAGATTCTGCTGAAAGAAAAGGATCAGAAAGAAAGTCATAATTCATCTGTCGTGCAGGGTATTGTCTGCTTCCTTGTGGGGTTCCATGAAATCATTCAAGCTAGGCAAATCCAAAAAGAAACGCCAAAAAAATTGTTCACAAACACGTCATTATACCTAGCTAGATAGTTTTGCCATTGCCACTACAAACTATGAATAGATTAAACCTCTTTGTTTTCCAAATTTCCTCATTATAATTCCTTTTTTCCATTCCAATATCAATCTCCCAATGATGAGGTAATGCACAATATCAAAAATGCTTTAAGATGCTTAAAATGTACTATTAGTGAAAGAACTAGTTTTTGAAACATACCTTCTTCATGTTATAAGCCATGTGTTTTGAGCTAAACTTCTCCAAGCTGTCATAAGTTCTCCTAGCACATCGGAAGGCATGCACTTGCATGAATCCAGGCATGTCAGAAACCAAAACCTTCACCTGAAGAAATGCAATCACTGATGACAAATTCGTTTCAACGTGAGACACAGACTTCCTTCCTTCAACAACCTTTCCTCCTCCTCCTCCTCCTCCTCCTCCTTCAACTCCTTCTTTTTCTATTCCTCTCTGCCTCTGGCCAGCTTTTTCTATAGTTTGACAATTTTCCAATTTCTTTAACGGCAAACTCCGTGAAACAGGCTTGTTATTTACCTCTGCATCAGGCTCGGTATTTGGCTTGTGACTTTTAGTACTGGACATGTAGAAAGTGCTCAAAAAACCACCTATTTTCTTCTGCTTATTCTCTTTGGTAGCCATTAATCTTTCTCAGACTCTCTTCTCTCAGAAAGGTTCTGATAATGTTCTATTCTATGAAGTCTTAGCTGCAGATATATATAATGTGAGCAGGGGAGCTGTTTGGAATCATCAACAAAAAGGAATACCCTTATAAATAATAGTAATTAGAAAGAGGATGGAATAATTTATTGCAGCAAACCATGTGTAATTGCCTGTGATAAAGGATAAACAAAAGGGTGGTGATTCTTTTCAGTCTAGGTGGGTTAGACTTGATTAGAGAGTTTTGGGGGCATATTTGTCCCCAATGGGACTGTTCCTGAAGAGCCGGCACCCACGTGGACCCCTCACCCTACACACTCCGCCTCTTTCCATAGGCTACCAAACAAAAATTGTCACTCTCTAATTTGTTGAACCCTAGAATTTTTTTAATACGGAGTATACATATACAGCTATAGAGTTATAGAATCTAATCATAGAACTTCGTAATTGGAGCTAACTTTATGTGATAAATTCCACATAATTATAAGAACTAAATACGGTATTTATACAATTGACCCAAAAGTATATCTATGGTATTTATACAGATAATAATAGGTGTTTTTTTGGTACATAAAGCAATGATCAAATTCTCAATTTCTATTTACTTAATTAACACGAGAACATCACCTGCTTAGGTCTTCAAACCCAAGAGCTTTCAAAAGTCTCTTAGGTCCTCTCTAATGCTCATTTAACATTCAAACTTTAAGAATTACGATCTCAAACCTTTAATGAGTAATAATCACCAAACACACTTTTCTTGCTATAATTTTTTATGATCTTGATAATATATATTTTTTAAATAATACTATAGAATATAATTTATTCATTGAACTTAACTTTATTAAAAAAAAAAAGAATGAAATTGTAAAATTAGAGAGAAGAAATTGTGCCATTTAATTTAGCTCAGTATAGGTTAATTTAATTTATCCTAATTTTTTAAGGCAAATAACTCAGATAGATGACCATTTGTGATTGGACCACATGGATTCAATTAAATTAAGCATTATATTATTAGCATGTCAGTAGTCGGCTATTAAAACAAATGGAAGATAACCAAAGGAGAGAGCCTGCAGTTATTTTAGTTCCATCCTAGCCCTCGATTAACAGTGTAACATTCTCTCGATTTCAGTCGACTGATTTAGAAAAACAAGGGCCGAGCATGTGCATTTTCTTCTTGACTTGGAAAGGTAAAAAGGAGTTTGCAATTTTTTAAATTGCTTACTTTACATTTACTTGATTAATTGCTCAAAGATTGGCATTTCTTAATTATAGTACTAATAATAATTGTTCGAATTTCAAATTGATGGCTATGTGATGACTTTGTACTTTATTCATTTTGAAATAATGTTACATTGAATATAAAATTTAATTCAATTAATTTGTTTTATAAAAAAAAAAAAAAAACTCAATTATAATGACTTAATAAAATTTAATAATTTTAGAATTTAAATTAATCCTTACACTTGTAATGCCTTCATTTATCTTTAGTAATTTTTTTTCATTAAAAGAAATAAAGTCATGTCATGTACAAACAAGAACATGCAATAAAAGTAGAGTATGGGCAATTGGAGAGTGAAAACGATTGATATAGGTTGCCTCAAATTGAATAATATACCATATATAGTGTGGATTTTTATATACTTGTCAGCCTAGAAAAATGATGGTACTAATATTATTTTATCTTCCTCATCAATTCCACTTGTATCTGCAATGATCAATTTGGGATCATTAGATGATCTCAAAGAATCCAAATTGAATCCGTGTCCGTGAATCAAACTAAGAAAATTTTAGTCATCTCCAATTAGTTATAAAGAAAAATGTGATAATGTTTCTCATTGTCAAAGATCTTGAGGCTTTGCTACGATCCACAAGAATGACCCTTCAATATTGGTCCTTGGCCACAAGCTGTTAGGATTTGCCTTGAATCTCAGAATCCCACATCGAAAGTTAAGTAAGTTTGAATTTGTCTTGTATCCCACATCGGGAGTTTAGTAAAGGTATAAAGGGTTTCACCCCTATAAATAAGATGTTTTGGTTTTAGTTTAGTAACCCCATAGAGTTAGACACCAAGAGAATAGCTAAGTGAGTAGGCTATTAAAGGGTGTAATTAGTTTTGGGTTAAGTTTTGAGTAAGGAGTTTTAGGAGACTTTTCTCATTCTAAAAGTCTCACAATTGTAAAGATTTATTTGATAGTGGATTAGATTTGGAGTAGGCCATTTTGAGTTGGGCTGAACCAAATATATTTGTGTTTTCTTATTCTTGATTTGAGCTTGTTATTTTGTGTGTGGTTGCTGCGCGTGGGTATTGTTGTTTTTCCCAACAAGTGGTATCAGAGCGAGGTTCCAGGTTCGAGGTTCTAGGTTCGTGGGTCCAAGAGATCGTGAAGCAGTGTTTGAAGATGTCTGAAGAAGGTATGTCTGGTATGTCTATGCCTAAGTTTGAGATTCCGTTATTTGATGGAAAGAGTAATTTTATGTTATGGCAAAGTACGATTCAAGATCTGTTAGTACAACAAGGATTGGATCAGGCATTGGAGAGTAGTAAGCCTGAAGGAATGTCTGATGCTAATTGGAATAGGATTCAGAAGAAGGCTGTTAGTACTATTAGATTGGCGTTAGCTTCAGAAGTAAAGTACAGTGTGTTGACTGAAAGTACTCCAAAGAGTTTGTGGGATAAGCTTGAAGGTATTTATGCTTCGAAGTCGTTGACTAATAGATTATGTTTGAAGATGGATCTGTATTCTTTGAAGATGGAAGAAGGTATGAGTCTTCACAATCACCTGAATGAGTTTAATAGATTGGTTTCTCAATTGCTAGCGATTTCTGTTGATGAGTTAAAAGATGAAGAGAAGGCTTTAATTTTGCTGGCATCTTTGCCCAAGTCTTATAGGCCTTTAGTTCAGACTGTGTTGGTAGGCAGGTCTACTTTGAAGTTGGATGATGTGACTGCCCTGTTGCGTGAGAATGAAAGGTTTATGGGAGCTCAGAACTCATCACCTGGAGGGAGTACACTAGCTGTAGAGGGTTTTGATCGAGGGAGGACTCAAAAGAGGATTGATGGATCAAGATGGAGATCTAAGTCAAGAGACAGAGATTACAGTGATGTAGAATGTTATTATTGTGGTGAGAAGGGACATATCCAAGTGCGCTGCAGGAAGCTGAGAAGGGATATGGCTGCTTTCAAAAGGGCGAATGATGAGAAGAAATCAGATGAAGAAAAGAGTGATACTGCTGCTGTCGTGTCTGATGATGATGATGTTGTTTTGACAACTTGTGTGGATGAGACCCAGATTTTGAAAAGTGATAAAGGTTGGGTTTTAGATTCAGCTGCTACAGTTCATGTTTGCAATGATAGGAGTTGCTTTGTGGAATTGGATGAGAATGAAAAGTATGGGGATATTGTGGTTGCTAACAAAGAAAATGTGCAGATTCAAGGCATTGGGAGTGTTCGCCTTAAATCTCACAATGGTGTTATTAGGACACTTCGTCATGTAAGGTATGTACCAAATTGTCACTACAATTTGATTGCTTTGGGTGAGTTAGCTTCTCGAGGGTACACATATTATGGTAGTAATGATTGGTTGAAAGTGTACAAGAATGGTAGTGTGATTCTACAAGGGAATAGGGTCAATCACTTGTACATGTTTGATGGAGGCTCAGTTGCTGGAATGCCTGTGATGAAAGAAAAGAAGAAAGGTAAGCATGTTAGCTTTGCAGATACTGTTGAAGTGTTTGGAGATTCAAGTCAAGGGAGGATTTGTTAGGATTTGCCTTGAATCTCAGAATCCCACATCGAAAGTTAAGTAAGTTTGAATTTGTCTTGTATCCCACATCGGGAGTTTAGTAAAGGTATAAAGGGTTTCACCCCTATAAATAAGATGTTTTGGTTTTAGTTTAGTAACCCCATAGAGTTAGACACCAAGAGAATAGCTAAGTGAGTAGGCTATTAAAGGGTGTAATTAGTTTTGGGTTAAGTTTTGAGTAAGGAGTTTTAGGAGACTTTTCTCATTCTAAAAGTCTCACAATTGTAAAGATTTATTTGATAGTGGATTAGATTTGGAGTAGGCCATACAAGCCATGGACCTAAAAAATTATGCGAAACTCATATTTATATGTTTTGAAATCACTGAAATACTAACTTAATTTGCATGACATGAATAAGTAGGGAATAGGAATGGCAAATCTGTTCGAAGAAAATTGATGGAAGTTTTGGATTCTAGTTGTTCATCTTCAGAATAATACTAATCAACTTAGTTTATTTCATGGTGGGGCTTGAATTTACAAAGCTTTTAATTGGGCCCCTTGATTGCTTGGAATATTAATTGTGGGCTAAAAGCACCTATAGAAATAAACCATTCATCGAGGATGGTCTTGACCCTTAGTAAACTGCAGAGCGATGCTGCTTTTAAATGAAGCTTTTAGAAAAAGACAAAATTCACATGATTATTGCCCAACATCTATGTAGGTGTGTTATGGCTTCCGGTAGTCGAAAAACTGGTAGGCGGTAGAATGAAATTTCAAATATGGCATGAATTGATAGAACTTGTCTAAAATTTTAGTATCTAATTTCATGCCGTGCGGTGAATAACTTCCCCTTGAGCTTCATAATCAGATAACTTTTATCAAGCTGTCACAATTTAACTGTATGTCAAGATCAATTTATCATTGTTGAAGAGACTTTTGAGGTCTGTACATCCAGAAAAGCATTTCTTTTCTGGTTCTTCCATATTTTTCTGCACTGCATAAGTAATAGCTAGTTTCTGCTAAAATCTTTTTGTCTGGTAGCGTAATTGTACAGACAACAATTTAAGAGTTACTTGATTCTAATTAACTTGCTGGTTAGTAATTAATTGTTTATGCTGCATAAATTTTGATGCGCTAAGGTTCCATTGATTAAAGCCAGAAAATGGGATAAAATCAGATATTTTTTATATAAAGGAGGTTGTAGATTGAGGATAGAGTTAGATATTGTAGGTAATGAGATTTGAACTTCAAATCAATTGAATGACAACTTTAAAGGTAACTCAATGAATCAATCAAGTTAACCTCCGGATTCAGGATAAAATCATTTCATTGATTTACAAGCTAACTATATTATATATATGTTGGCATGAATATCTGCTTCAAAACACATTAATCATGAATGCTTAGAACATTCTCCTGGCCGTCTCTAGCTGATATATTCTCGTCAATATCATTCTCAATTGAAGGAATAAAAAAAAAAAAAACAATAAAGCGAAAGTCTTGGTACAAAGTACTTAATCAATTTCCTTGAACAAATATACTGTAAAATAGAGTACAAGAATTAACATCCTTTTAATATTTTTTCCTGCTATTGATTATTAGTATTAGAATTAGCATGACAGCCAACAGGTTCCGTAAGACTTGAAATTGTGTTATGGAAAAATGTTCTCACTTTGGTTAATCATCAACCTTAATTAGCCGTTTCGCCATCCTTATGTAAATATACATATAACTTCGCATCTTGAGGACTCCAAGAAAATCACTAGATTTTTATTGCTTGTTCAATATTCTGCTGTAATTGTTGCTGTTGCTGCCTTTGTCGAATGTTGCAGTTGAGCAGCGAGCATGAATGCGTAGCATCACGAGGTAGTGGAACCACAGGGAGATTGTCACAGTTGCATACTTCAATCATGTTGCCATCAGGGTCATGAAAGAAGAGTTGATCAACGCGGATTTCACCATCTTCCACACCACCCTTTACGTATTCTATCGTCATCTCCTTCAGTTTCTTCTCTACTGTTGTCATGCACTCACACTGCCAACAAGAATTACTTCAGTACATATAAATTTACAAATTAAAGAAGTACCCAAACATAGAACGTCCGGTCAATGATAACACTCATACAAATATTAAAAGAAAGAAAGAAAAGAAAAAGAGCATTTATTTTCTAACCAATATATAAAAGAAAATCTATACCTTTTTGCAATGTCAAGTGTCAACAATCAACATTTAAAAACATGTTCTAATGTGATGTGATGTGAAAACTTAGACTATTAGTATTAACTACAATTAACACAAATCTTTAGAAGTAAAGAGAAATGAACCAGTAGCTTGGGCTTATTGGATGATGTTCGAGTTTTTGCATTATGCAGGCCTGTTATGTGTTTTTCTAAGTAGATTTGGGGTTTTATATAAATAAATTTGGGGCATGGATGGAGGAGGGTTTCTCCAGGCTGTGGTTTTTTTGGACAAAAGAATTGGAGCGTTGGCCGTTGGGATTGGTCCTGTTGCAAGGAAAAAAGAACGTTATTCGCCACGTAAGGCGAGCTTCGCTCTACTTGGTTTGCAATACAAAGCTTCCTCATTGAACTTCGAAATCTTCTAGTATGCATAGATTGGCTAATACATGAAATATACCTGGAAAGAAATATGATTGTCCTTGGGATTAATTCGGCCAACCTTAGGCATGTTATCAGGGTTTTCAGATTGGAGAAGATGGATGCCAATGCCATAATTGAACAGCCTATCCTTGACAAAATCAGAAAACTATGCATAAATATTTAGTAAAATACAAGTTAAGAAAAAAAAAAAACCTTGACAAGAAAGGAAGGGGTTTTTTTTTTTGGTTCTTTCTCCCTTTTTATGATTTCAATAATCTGTGTAGAAAGGTCAATTACCATGCACCAGAGAAATCAAAGGAACCAGGTCTCTTGATGGGAAAGAACCCAAGAACATGCTGATAGAAATCAAGAGATTTCTCAATTGATCTGCACACAAGTGAAACGTGATTCAAGCACTTCAGCTGCATTGGATTCTCCATGTTTTTCTGCCTAAATACTTTGGCTCAACCAAAAGAAAGAAACTTAAATACTTCCACAAAATTTCTGTATGTAACAGAGTTTAACGTTAAACAGAGAAATCGAAGATAAAGGAATGGTAGTTAAAGAATTGTGGGAAACAGTAAAGAGCTTTGATGAAGAGATGTGGAGATTGGAGATCGCTCTACGACTCTACCTCGCACCTATTTAGAGAGGACAGAAAAGGGTAAGTGCGTGAGCTTTTTTCTGAGAATTTTTTTAATCCCTTTTTCTTACAAGTTTGGTTAAGAACAAGACATATTTTTAGGTCATCATTACACAATCACACGTAGATTCCACGCTTAGAATTGGAAGAACAGGTGTAGTCATTTTCCTTTTTCTTTTTTTTTTTTGTCGTTGACAAGTTGGTAAATATCCTGTGCGACACAAGATTTGATGGGACAACTTTTTTGACCACGTAAAGACTATTCATGGATAAAGCCAAACTTAAAACAAGAGCCTCCCGGACATTTGATTAGACAATATGTTTTAGTAAGAAAACCAATTGGTTTTTTACTTCCCATGTTCTGATAAGACAAAATATGTTTTTGTGAGAAAACCAATTGGTTTTTTTACTTCCCATTGGTTGAAAGGTTGTTTCCCCTCATTAGTATCAAAATTCGTTCACGCTTTCAGAAAATACAATCCCCTTGGCCCTTTCAAATGCTAGCAAATTTCCTCTTCCCTCCTTCCTTAATCTAAGCTTGATACTTTCAAAGTTTCGTATCTTCACTACTAAATTGGATAAAATTAATTTAAATAATTGAAGTTGTGGCAGGTATTACGTTATCTAGTTCTAGCCCAGACTCGTTGTCATGTAACGCACTAAGGCAGCTATGCTGGCAAGGCTAATCCTGATCAGATGGATATATATGGGCATACCTAAAACACTTTTAAGATTGGCAAAGCGTGTTTAGCATATATAAAAAAGATATTCCATGTTTTCTTTCATTTGGTTGATGTTTTTTTCTTTGTTTTATCATTAGTCTCCAAATGCAAGCAACTCCTCTGTTCCACTGCTCCATAGTATTGAACCAATGGATTCAGTGTTTGATCAGACTTGAAATATTGTCAGAAATTACTAATAAAGTTAGAAATTCCCAAGAGCTGATTTCCTGAAACAGACGATGAACCTAATAAACGGGTGGTGAAAAGTAGCTTTTGCCAAATATAATGAGACGGACCCGAGGTTGCAATTCTTCTTGGTAACTAATGGACGGTAATGACCGAAAGAAAAATCCACGGCCCTTGTCTAGCACATGTGAGCAGACGGAAAGAGTACAAGAACAATGGCCACATAATTATTTTCTCTAATCAATGTTAATTTTGAGAGAAAGAGTCCGTTCTCCTGTATTTGAACTCAAGACTTTAAGTTCATCATAAAAGACCCATTAACAACTGCTAGTTAGAAATTATAAACCTGAATTTATTTTATGTATTTATATATATAATTATTTAAATTTTTTATTTTTAAATTAATTGAGATGATATTAAAATTAACATTTGATGTTACATGTTAAAAGTTCGAAAGAATTAATTTACATAATATCCTCTCCAACTATTTATTTATTAATATAAATGGATTTAAGAATAAATAAAAAATTAAAAAATATTCTTGATTTCAATTATTGGATAATCTAATTATCTGTAGAACAATTTATCTAAGGGGTGTGTCTAATGCAATTACAGAGAAGTAATATATTATTTTTTCAAGAGCAACAATGTTCCCTCAAGTAATATATTTTTATGATTCAAAACTAAATTAATACTCCTATTAATAAAAGAAAATCATAGAGGAAAGCAGGTAAAAAAGGTGGGCGAGCAGCTTGATATTTATTTGTAAGCAAAATACAAGTACAACAATCATTTTGTGGCGGTAGGTATTTGATATTTCGAGTCAGCTAAGAAAAGTCTACCAACAAAGATGACAGAGTAGAGTGTTTGCCTACTGCACAGAAGCTATGTAGAGTTCTAGTGATGACTGGTTTTTCAAACGGTTCAAAGTCTGCTACAGCGCCAATCTTTGTGGACTGATATCATTGTGGTCCCCGGAACCCCTGTTCTAATTCAAAAGCGGAATCACTGGTATTTCAACTTCTTGCAACAGCACTGATTGTGGCACTTTGTTTCCTGCTGGAGGCCATAACTAGGCAGGTCATCAGACTTCTAATTTCAGTTTCAGTAAAGAAAGAAATTGGAATATGTTAATTGGTCCGAAAGTCAGTTCGAATAAGCCCGAGATAACTCACAATTGGCAACGCCGTATACCACTGATTTTCTTATTTATAACGTGGAGACACGTATTTAACATGCAAGATATTCGGTGGATTTGACGGATGTTAATGTAATATTAAGTAATTATGTAGTTAAATATAATGTTATAATTAAAATAATATTATTTAATATCACAATATAATAATTTTTAATATTATATTTGATTATATAATTATATAATATTACAAAATATTACATTATCATGAAAATTGACGTGTTTTAATTTGCTAACAAGCCAGGCATATTCATGATTTTCAGATATTGTTTATGTCAGGTCTTTGACATGTTTCATTTGTCAAATATCGTCAGCATATTTTAGTATCCGTGACCAAATTCATGTAATCTAAAGTTGTACTTGAGCAGCACAATCCGATTCCGACCAGCCCAGGCCAAGCATATCAAGAGCACTTTGGATTTGACGTGGCAAGACATATCGTTACTCTAACCTTCAGCTTTAACCTTGCCATAATAAAAACTCTATATTTGTGATTGGATTTATGAAATTTGTGATAAGGAAATAAATCATATTTAGAGTTTATGGGAGTATATCAAATCGTGTGTGTATATATATATATATATGTTGTATATTATTTAAATTTAAAAATTTAAGTTATTGAGTTCTTAGCATTACAAGGGGTTTGATTTTTAACAACATTTTTTTAATCGTTTAGCGGCGTTTATTAATGTCACTATAAGATTGCAATGTTTGCAAAAAAACGTCACACAAAGTATCGCCTATACACGCATCACAATAAATAGCGACGTTTTGAAAAAAATACTTCAATATTAACGACGTTTGTATGTGAAGCGCCACCATTTTAGCGGCGTTTATATCTCAGATATGTCATTATTTCAGTGACATTTTTATGAAAAAAATATCGTTTCATTGACGGCGTTTAACAAAAAACGTCGCTACTTTACATAGCGTTTGAATCTAAAAATGCCTCAATATTTGTAGCGTTTGTATCTTTTAGACGCCGTTAATTCAGTGGCATTATTATGAGAAAAATATCATTACTTTTGTGACATTTTTATAAAAAAACGCTACCAAACTAGCGGCGTTTGCTGGAAAAAGCGTCGCTACTACTAGTGACATTTTATGCTACAAACGCCACTAAATTATTTATCATGTATTGAAACAATCAAATATATTAAAACAGAACAATAAATGTTAGTTTCCATATTTACTTTTCAACGGCAGAAAAATTCATTAATTGAAATAAGTTAATTATCATAAACTTACAATTTATTTTTGCTTTCTTACAAAACTTTTTGATCCACTTGTGTACTTTTTGATCCACTTGTGTGACTATATTTCTGTTGCTTTCTGCTATCAATCTCAATCTGTTCTCTTTTCTGTCATAAAAATAATTGCCTATATGATAGAAATACAAATATTACCAACTTAAACCATCAAACACTTTCATCATTTCCTTCTATTATACAAAGTTATAAACAACTACCTCTCTTTTTCTTGAGAACCAAAATCTAACCAATTGTTTATATTGCCACCTAATCACATTACGGGATAGATTTTGCATCATCGCCTTTACAGTATTATTTCGATCGAAATACTTATTCTTCAAACTATGCTTATAATCTTTCCATTTCTTTTCCCAGGACTTAAGCACATATGAAGTTGATATCTCAAGTACAAATCTTGACTGTAATAATACAATAAAAAAAGTTTGAATAAGTAAACAAAATGTAAAATAAAAAATTTGAATATATCTAATTAATTATACTAATACCTCAATAAAGTTAACACATCAGCCTTAACTTCTTCTGGAATATTATGCCATGTTTCATAATGAATAGGCAATTTCATTCCATTACGGGCTAGTATGCCTAGAAATCCAGTCAATAGTTGAGCCTCTTCACCAATTGGTTGCCTATCAAAGTTTGCAGACACTACAATACGCTCGTTAGGAGGTAGTGCAAAAAATTCCTTCAAAGTTATCCGACCTCTAATCCTCCGTTGACCATTGTTATCAACTGCAACAAATATATAATATATTTGTAAAATCGTAATACTTTTATGATTATACTCGAATTCTAAAATTGGAGTATATCATACCTACATTCAAATTTAAAGCATAATCAATTGATGGGGTACTATCTAAACATGGACCTCTCGTATTGCCTGATTCAATATCAATTGAAGGGTTAGAAGTGACAGAGTTAGATCCGACAGTACGTTCATTTTTCGCCAAAAGATTCAGTCCATAGCCAATATCTACAGGTGCCGCAGACGGTTCTGAACTAATATCTCTTATATATTTTCCTTTCAACATACTTCTCCACATTGTAGCTTACCTACATCATAAAAGCGAATATAGAAAACATTTTAGTTCAAAAAATATATAAAGACATTTTCAATTTAAGAAATCAAAACCTACGATATATAAAGAACATATCAATTTAATTAAATCAAAGTATAATGTGTGATTTAGAAGACAATCATTAAACAATAGCGAATGTGACATTATTTACATACTATTATTTACTACATTATGTCTTAAACACTCGAATTACAAATTATAGGTGCACGAAATCATGGTTCGTAAATGTTTTCAGTAACATCTTCGTGGACCTACTTAGCATTGGTACTGGAGATATTCTTATCCAAATTTTGTTCAGCAAAAGGATAACATTCAATTCAATGTTCAACATCATCTTTGGTATCTAACCCCATATTAAATAAGTCTCTATGTGTGTTTCAAAGAACAATAAACCAACCCAATTCTTTTGGATCTTCAAAGTAAAATACTTGTTTGACTTGAGATGAAAATACATAAGATTCATCGACGAGGTGTTGTCCTGTGTGAATTAATAGAGAAAAATTAACAAGGGTAAATCCATACTGATCTTGTTTAATACCCCTCTCACTATTCACATCTGCCCAATCACACCAAAATAAGATAATCCACTTACCATAAT